CATTTAACAGGATTTAGCGCACGGAACCGATCAATAAATACTCACATTTTACACAGAAGTATGGAGTTCTGACACATGAGTATCTGATGATGTGTGTATCCTCCTGATATCTGGAAGTGGAATAAGTGAATTTGTTACTTAAAAATGTCATATGAATTAACACCTAAATTACCACTTTAAAATAACTGTCTTTGGCGCAGAATAGTCTAAATTTTAAGGGCAAGATGTGTGATGACAGCTAACAAGGCTGGTCACTCGTAAAAGAAAAATTTGAGCTCACATCAGCTAAAAGTATTTTTGATTGCTACCTACTACAAAATTGTGCCTTTTTGTATCTTATCTCGAAGGTATCTGCTCGTATAAAATCTACATCTATAAAAATCCTTATGAAACGTAAACCAGCCATAAAAGGGACTCGAGGAAAGTCGTTATTGCCTCCTATTAAGACGTTGGGTTGTAATACTTTGTTTTCTTGCGACCACAAACAGCTTTATCTTTACTAGTTATATTTTGTGAGTGAGTCACTGTATGTCTGGAAAATTCCAGCTTGACGATTTTTTCTCGCATTTACTTTCCTTTACTGACTTACATGTAGGCGCTTCTAAATCAGTGTCTGAGAAACCCAAACCTAAGTGATCAACTTTAGATAAGTTATCTAATAATATATAGAAAAAATTGCCCGAAGGCGACCATGTAGGCAATCTTTGCTCGTTAATTAAACCTGACATTTGACCGTGTAAAGGCGTTATTCGTCGCTTTCGAAAACAGCAACAAACATCATTATATGTATAGCCGTACTTGTCATTTCACAACTAGTTTACGACACACGTATTGTATACAAATTGTTTAATAAGTACATAGCTTGTGTTGGAATTGTGTCAGCGTGTGTTGTGTTGCTGCTACACACTTAATTGTAAGTCCTTACTTGCCTAATGTCCCGTGTGGGATCTATTTAGACGTACAAAACGCCTCAAACCCGCTGTTAGGTCAAAGATAATAAACCGTCTATTGTTTGTCCGTCCACATTGTTTGCATCGACCAGGAAATGTCATCGGTTGTGTTCTGTTTTAAACATTTGATCACCTCAAGGTCAAACGGACAATGGATTTTGCAAGTGGCGTTTTAACATGGTTTGTTCCTGCCACCTTGACTGACATGCCATCAGTAATACAGTTTATATTTCACAACTAATGATGACCGTTTTTTCCATATCCAAATGCTGGAATTCGTCCCTGTTACACTTAGGCCGCATTAAACTAACGCTATACCACCCGTAAATAGTTGCACGCGTGTAAGTACCATGTACTAGTACTATTGTCACGCGTTGGGTTAGGGGTGAAAGTACACTTATTTATCATCGGTCCCGACGACAGCCACACCGACACACATGACGCGTTTTTATCGCTGTTTTACTCTGAGCGCACAATGCTGAAATATTTTCAATTAAGCTTCTAAAATCTCACACATATTTTTTGTTATGGATTCGTGCGAACGCAAAATGTTTATTGTTATAACCATGATTTATTTGTATGCACACGTCTAATGCGGCGTGTAGGAGCAATCAAGTCTGTTGGCATAATAAACACATATTTCAATATTCACCTCAGTAAAGAGTGCGCTTGACGAAGACTTCGCTTTGCTCCATGCGGCGACTATGACGTGATCGCAGCACTTCTGGCTGGTTGCCACTTGTCTACTTCAGCTGCCCCTCGACAAACTAGACAATATTTATTAATTTTTAAATTTATTTATATTGTTAACTGGGTTTATTACCTTCATATTTATCTATTAGTAAAATATTTTGAGCGTATCTGAAGACAAGACAGACTGGTGTCTATTCTGCCATGCAACCTGTCCTCGTAGTCCAAGAACCGGTTGAAGGTTTATACTTGCATTTTCTGTGCCAGTCTCAATTAGTGCTGTTTGACTGGTTTGGTATTTTTACAATTTATATGTAATCAGTTGAATGTCGCTGTCGAATGCAGTTCTGTTCTTAGGAGAATACACGATACATAATGTGCATTAGGATACTTTTATGTTTCTTGTCCTATGTCTGATAAGTTTTATATTGAGGGTGATTTAACAAAAAGGTTTCTTAGTTGATTTGCATTTTTTGCCTATAAAACCCGTTGCCCATAGTAATATTGAATTAAAATATACAGAAGGAATGCAACTCTGAGGACGGAATATAATACGATAATACTATTAAATAAAATACTGCAAACTTCGAGGTTAATTATAAAAAACAATTTCTAGATTTATGAACATTCACTGCCGAAACTATTGTACTATCATGTCTTTGATGTCACATGATCAAAATATGAAGGTAAAACATTGTATACTCAATTTTCCATTGCCTTGAGGCGTTCCTTGCGCTGCCTAGCTCGTCGTTCCAGAATGAATATACACGGACCGTAGACCTTGGGGCGGACGCCGCACACCCGCGCTGCAAATATTGGCCAGCGACACTGAGATCGATACACCCATCTACTTTGGAAAGAAGTTTCTCATTAAGACTACTTAGAAACTAGTTTACCATACTTATTTGCCCACTCTATCTCATGTCCAGTTTCTTCACCAGTAACATATGACTTAGAATACCTTTTTTAATATTTTAAAACGCATGAAACCATTAAACTCTTTTCTTGTACAGCACTCATAGTACTTTACCGGCTGCCACCTTTTCATGTACTGTTGGCAGGTGTTAATCATTCATCAGTAATTCTTCACCTAGATCCTTTTCATACCGAGACATAATTAGAAAGATTTTAACTTACAACATTGTAAGAATCTACTAGCGTACACAAAACTTGTAGATTGACAAATTTAAAGCTGTTTAAAATCGACTATAAAGTTTATCTATTTTATAATTTAATGTTTCGGTCTTTTTGGCTGTCACACACCTGATTATTTCTAATAAATGTAAAAGCTATTAAAGCTTTCAAATTTTTTAATAATAATCTTAAAATCAGAAATTTGTAAAAATACGGTTTGGACGCTGTTAAGTTTATTGTTCAAGGTTGGTCTTACTTTTCACGGGTGTGAGCGAGGCGTGCAGCCTAAATGGCGGTGGCAGTTCCGTGTGGAAAGCGTGTTGTTGTGAACAGCGCGCGCTCGTTGACGCACTCGATCCATACAGATGTTACGGATACAGCAGAAATGGCACACCGACACGAAATAGCAAGTCATACCAATCATTGTTATATATTTGTTCTATTTATTCGTTACACCAACCAGGAAAATAACCATTTGTTATCTATCTCTTGTTCTCATTTTGATTCCCCCAGATACCTGTCTTTAGCAAAGCTTTAGGTGATAGAACCAGTATTATTGATTATATTAGAAAAGTTCTGGGGTTCCTAAGTGTGTGACCTTATTGATACGTTCTTACTACATCGGGAAATGTCTACCTGTAAATCAAGATATGAGCTTTATCTAAGGCATATGGTGAGAGTAACTCGTATTATACATCCCTGACCTACATGGCGGGAATATTTGTTTCTTGCCGATCAGGTTTATTAAATCGACTAACGCTAAAAGTACCGTAAGTGGTTTTCATTCATGGCGAATAATTGTACCAGACAAAATGTTCGTTTTAACATCAGTGTTCAGTTAATCCTGTACTTTTTCTAGAAATGAATTGTAGTCCATTCTGCCAGGCACGTCACGTGGCAATGCTGGCGCGGCGCCACGGGCCGTTTCAGTAGTGCGCGCGCGACGGGTTAACGTTTCCCGACGTGACACTTTTTTTTCCCACTATTCCTGACTGCATCGCGTGCCAATTCCGCACATCAGACAACGGCCATTTATTTCAACCGGCCCCGTTTTATGTTCATGAGAAGCGATCGCTATATACATTTACTATCCTTTTAATGTTTTTTTTCTATTTCAAAAGTTAATGCGGTTAGGTCTCCAGTGCAATTTTACATACAGCCGCATTTGTTGATCAAGAGTCCCTCTTGTCAGAGTTGGACACGTGTATTCTCACTAGTGTTCAATTATTTAGAAACCGGCATAACTTCTCCAGATCATAAAAAATCTCTTAATTTCTATTAGACTTAAAGAAGACCCATACAAAGATTTCAGAGTCACAAATCATAAGTATTACTAGTAAAGTATGTTACCTACATAATGTATGTACACCATTGATACACGATACACCATGACCTTACATTTTTAACCGCTCGTGGTTTCTGAACTTGTAGTTATTAATGTTATCTCTCACAAATAGTCCTACTGGCATGTCACTGCGCATTTGATTCCTTTTTTTTGTTGACGGGATGGAAAATCCCTTCGGATCTCCGGCTCCTTGGGGACGCAGGAGACCACCCCGACGGCCGGCCTCAGGCGCCATCAATACTTTCTTACGTAAGCTTTGCATTTAAACATTTGTATATGAACCATTGACACCATTGTTCCATTCTGGATACAGTTACGTTCTAAAAATTCACAAAATAAAATTACGTTATAAAAATGTGTACATTTGTGCACAATGATAGTCCACTATATGACCACATTTATTACTTCCTAGAATAGTATCAAATAAAGTTAGCGAATGACGTTAGTTAATCGCCTTTCGAGAACCTTGAGCTTATCGACCACCGCCAAGTTACACGTCCCCTCACTCTTGTGTAACTGATAAACAGTTCTAATTAACTAACGCACATATTTGTGCAAGCACTACAGTGGTTCCGTCATGCTATTATGTATGTATCGTAGTACGTACTAGTTGACGGCTATTGGTTTTAACTTAGCTGACACAGTACCCGACTAGCTACTACAGTACCCGCTACAGCTTTATGTGCTTGAAAGCTACATCATTCTTCGGTCACCTTTATCAGAGGCGTGGGATGCGATAACTTGTTGTTTATATCGAAAGAGATATTTTGAACGTCACATTGTCTCTTTCTGGCTTAGGAGCGTGCGGCGCGGCGCGGGGCGGGCTGCCGTTGCGCGCGCGCGCGGCTCTGCGTACCGAATGACGATCAGTTTTAGCCGTGATGTGCCACGCAGTAGTGCTCGGAGTTCTGTTCTCGTTGCCGTCGTACCTGTACTCGGCCGTCCCCTTCAGGTGAGCTCACGTCGCAGTCGTTTTGCGTTACTCTTAGTTTAGTGATCCGAGCTGGAACGTGAACTTGCTGTTCGGTTTGCCCACTGTTTCATGGTGTGTATGTGCATTGTGTACTAGTCCGATAGCCTATGATAGTACTCATCAAAATGGTGCATTAGCGGTTTAGTGATTTAAGTACTCTATTGATCTATTCGCTGTGCAATACGATGCGATTTATATCAAATTCCGGAACGGTTTGCGTCGAATCATCGTAGTTTGCAACTTTCGCGTCAGGTTCATCGTTTTATAATGAATCAGATGACACGGAACGCATACGAATTGACGCATTAAACATTGGTGTCACGAGCGATGGCCACTGCACAGCGGCGGGCCCCGACATTGAACCAGCACGCGGCCCTGCCGACCTCCAGCGGCGGCGCGAGTCTTCGGCACCTCCTGAGCCCGCCTAGGTTGCATGCGAGAGTTACGTAACGCGCGTCATGGACACATGCCTGGAGGTGCTCATGCTGTGGCTCTCCGTCTTCGTCGACACTATCCTCGGGAAGTTAGTATCTCCTCCGATTATGTATGCATTGGTTTATACGTCTGGTAATGCTACATGCTACGTGTTACAATTTTAAATTTCTTATAATTTTTTAATCTTATAAAAATTGAAATAACGCATTTAGTATAAAAACATATTTATTTAAATTAACTTTGTTTCGAAAGCCGTAAGTAATATAGCGTTTTATTTATATTATGTCAATAACTTGATGTTGAAAATTGGACATGCAAATATGTAGGATAATAAACATTGTGGAAACTTGAATTGTGACTATGAGCTTTTTGGAACTAAAGGTTTGTTTTGTTAAATAAGATCCGGTTTGCTGCGACCAGGGCGTCAGAACGTTTAAAATATAAAACTAGTTTTTTGCGATTTATTATGCTATCATATAATAGATTATTCAAAAACAATTATTGACACTCCCCTATACAAGATCATGGCCGTTGAAAAAATATTCTGAATACCTACTTGATATTTTAAATACCGAATCACCATTAAAAAGTGCATGAAAAATAATGTGTAATTTCCAAAGGTGGTTCGGGTCCTAGTTGTGGTGCAGGCCGCTTGCACACAATAGTGCGACATGCGCTGGTTCACGCGCGCGGAACACTTCCACTGACCTCTCGTTGTCGACGTGATCGTACGATGGTAGTATTGTGTATAAATGTGTAGTGAATAGTACCAGCTATACGACTCATTACGAATTTTATTTGAGGTAATACGTACAACAATGTGCCAGTAGTTTTACCATACCAATTGAATGTCGTTGCAGCCTAAATATTTGTCAATCTGGATTTTTTAAAATTCAAGAACAATTTTTTTTTTTTTTTTTTTTTTTTTTTTTTGCGTTTATTTGCGATCAGCCCAAAGGCTATGAGCAAATATGCTGTGTGATGCTGTCGTGCGGAGTAGCTTCCCATTGGAAGCATCTACTCATCTGCTACCCAGAGCTACTGCCGGCCATCTAGCTCTAGGATATGGTGACGTTTTAGTCGTCTCGCATACTCGTCCATGGTGAGTTGGCGAGCGAGTACGTTAGGGTGACAGGTTAATCGCTCTTTGTATTTAGCTGCCAAACTCCGAATTTCCTCCTTGATTGTTTTCATTTCCAGGTGCTCGTGAACTTCGTTATTGGTTATGCACCATGGTACCTTCGCAATTGATCTTAGGATCTTGTTCTGTTGGCGTTGTAGTATATTTAAGTTGGTATCGCTTGCGCTGCCCCACAGTTGCAGACCATATGTCCAAATGGGCTTTAGGATGACCTTATATATAAGCAGTTTGTTGTCTAAGGAGAGTCTCGAGTTCCTTCCTAGCATCCAGTATAGGCTGTTGTGCTTTAGCTGAAGCTCCTGTTTTTTACATTGAATGTGGTGCCTCCAGGTTAGTCTGCGATCAATGTGTAAGCCAAGATATCTCACATGGTCACTGTGTGGCAGAGCACATTGGCCCAACTTTACAGGTGGGCAGTCTCCCTTTCTAAGGGTGAATGTCACCTGCACGGACTTCGCAGCACTAACCTTTATTTTCCATTTTTGGAGCCATTCGCTTAGTTTGTTAAGGCCCTTCTGCAAGTTTTCCGATGCCAGTTTTGGATCTTTGTTACTTGCTAATAAAGCGGTGTCGTCTGCAAATGTAGCTGTAGTTATTCCTGGTATTAACGGTAGGTCAGCAGTGTATAACGTGTAGAGCATGGGGCCGAGAACAGATCCTTGTGGTACCCCGGCGTTAATCTCTTGGAACCCAGAAGTGGCATCACCTTCCTTCACATAAAATATGCGATCCTCGAGGTAAGATTTAAATATATGAAAGTAAGCGTGGGAAATATTCTGCTTGATCTTACATAATAGGCCTTTGTGCCAGACCTTGTCAAATGCCTGCTGGATATCCAAGAACGCTGACGAGCAGTATTCCCGTTGTTCTAAGGACTTTCTTATGGCGTCACATACTCTGTGAGCTTGTTCCACTGTGCCATGGCGTTCTCTAAAGCCGAATTGGTGATCCGGTATCACTTTGCGCTCCAAAAGGCTCGGCATAATTCTGCAAAGTATTGTCTTCTCCAGTACCTTGGATAGAGTAGGCAACAGGCTGATTGGTCGATAGGATGTTTTGTCGTTCATTAGTTTGCCAGCCTTGTAAATCATGATGATTTCTGAGACTTTCCACGCACTCGGAAAGTACCCTATTCGTAACATAGCGTTGAAGATGATGGTGATGAAGACAATAGCCTTTCTCGGTAGTTTCAGCAATATCTCTTTAGTTATTAGGTCGTAACCCGGTGCCCTTTTGCTATCCAGTCGTTTGATCGTTTTTGTGACTTCTGCGGGTGACACTGGTCTAGGAGGAAAGTCCATTTGAAGGTCTTGTTTTAGAATGAGATCAACATATTTTTCTGATGAGTTATAAGAGTCAAGAACAATTAAATCTGTGTTTGTATTAGTTATTGCAGCTGTTTCATGAGTCCATAGCTTGTATCCGCGGCTTAGCTAGCATTAATGGAACAGTTCTTTTACAGTTTTGAAATGATTCATCATAACAGATCGCCTGGTTAGTAGTACAAACCTATTCACTTTCGCTTTAACAACATTGAGTAATTAGGACCTATCCTAACTACATTATGTCGAGTGGTTTTCGTGCCATGGCACCAGCACGGTGTGACCTCACCGCATTACTACTACTAGTGTACATGGTGAGGTACAATAGTAAATAGTATTTTCTTGCCCAAATTGTAATGTTTCAGGGTCGATCTTCTCGGTGATAGGACTTTAGTACTTTATAATGTCGTTTAATAGAAATTTGAATAGCTTAAATATATGAAATGTAACATGTCATAAAGTGGGTATGTAATACTCGTAAATGTGGCGTTTATATACACAAATGTCATTAAACGTTATTATACAGTTTTATATTCAATTAGTAGAATTATAATTATAATAAATGATGAAGGAATTATGTAAATATTTCTAAACACTCATCGTTTACGAATGTAATTATCATAAAGGAGCGTAATTAGTTTCTCTAACAATTACACACAGTTATTGAAACTAAACTTAAAAAGAGCTCTCTCTCGTTGCGACACACAGAAATGCTCCTTGCTAAACTACAAGTAATAACTTACAAAACGTACGAACTATTTCAATACATATAATTTATTATAAAGGTGTAATAAGCGGTAGTTTTTATTAAAAGATGTATAACTAAGCGTACATATAACGTACACAAATCGCAAAAGTGCGATTTATGAACGTAACAAATACAAAAAAAACTGTCTTGACATAGATAATCTCCTCCTTTTTTAAATCAGTCAATAATCAACCAGCAGGTGTTGACTCTAAGGTTTTGTTACTTAAAGTACAGTCTGACACGTTTATTACTTAACGTAAATATATATATATATATATAATAGGTATAATTACATGTATAATGGTCTTTTGGAAATTGTATAAATAGGTTTCTTATACATTTTTACTGTTACGCGCTACTTAAATGTACTATAAAATCTTTATTGTAGTGTAGATAGCTAACTCGTTTAATATATATTATTTAGTACCTAGTTAACAGTGGCACGTACCTACTTAGATAGCTATTAAGCTTAAATGGAAAAATGACATCTAAAGTAAAGGACAATTGTAGGCATGTATGGGACTTTTGTACCGCCTTGCTTGCTTCAGGGTAAGGATTATTACATAAATTACCACATTTTTTAAACTTCAAAAATTATTTGAGCTTGTAGTTTACATATAGGCTAAACTGAAATCGATACCAATGACAGCTGGCTGTCACAAATGACTTGTCATTGCTGTCAACAAGTTAACATATTATATGTACCATGAAAATCAAAATCATTCGTTTACGATCTTGAACCGTCATTAAAATGTTGTCCTGTCAAAGTAGATAAATTACTTTTTTTACATAAAATTCACAATGAATCTAATCGATTAAATTAAAACTTGTTAGTACCTTTCCTTAAACTAATTGATTTAAAAAATCATCAAGCATCAGCATCAAGTACAAAATAAAAAGTATTAATCAAAGGCACTGTGAGTGTGACTGATAAGGAATCGTATTAAAGAAGTGAACATCCATACTGTTTGATGTTTTGATAACCTGCGTTATCTAAGATGTGCACACAAAGGCGGAGCGTAATCCTTCATTGTAATCTACGCTGATGTCACACGGCACGGTACGACAAGAAAAAAACCCCTTTTGGAAATTGACAATCTTTATTTTATGACACCTTTGTGTAATCTAGTGAAATAACAGATTAAGAAAACTTGTGTCCTAGTGTTATCAAGTTCGGTGTAGTGAAAAATTTATAATAACAAATCTTTTTTTTTAATCCTAAATGGCTTGAACTTTTGAACTAAGGATGAAATAAAATCTAAAAACAAGGTGTTAATCTTTGATAAGTTTTAGTTTTGATGGCATTTATCTTTATCTATCCAAATCACAGGGT